TTTTCAGCGCGTCCTTAACGACATACTCAGGGACCACATTGGAAAAATCTGTTATGTCTATATAGACGACATAATTGTGCTTGGTAAGGACGAGCGTAGCCATTTAGAGAACTTAGAAACTATCTTCCGATCTCTTGAAAATACTCGAATGAAAGTACAACTGGATAAGTGCGAGTTTTTCAAGGGCGAATTAGAATACAAGGCCCAAAGGAACTTTCATATTGAAAGTGAACCGGAACAAGAGGAAGTACAGCAACAAGGGTATGATCAAGAATGGACACCTACAATGGACGAAAATGAGACCGCATTGAACTACGAAGATGGTTTGCAGTTATCTCAGGATTATGAGCAAACTCCAGCTGACTTTACGGACATACATTTTTTAGAATGACGTGTTCGTCGTTACCGTACATAGAGTGCAGGGCGAAGAAGGGAGACAATCTTAAGATATTGCTAGACACTGGTTCTTCTTCTTAACGAACAACCTTTCTTCGCAAACTCCATAAGCGGAAAAGTAGAAATCACCGACCACACTCTGGTAAATCTTTTCGGGAAAAGGTATGATCCCTACTAAGAGATGGAATAATTAGACCATCAAGATCAGCATATAACTCACCTATCTGGGTAGTACCCAAAAAACTAGATGCCTCTGCACAGAGAAAATACAGAATAGTTATTGACTACCGAAAATTGAACGCAGTGACATTAGCCGACAAGTACCCAATACCTGTGTGGTCTCGCGCGAAAGCAGAAACAAATTTAATGTGTCACTACTATATTTATTCCTTACAAATAATTTATAATAACGAAATTTTAGTTTTTCGGCTGGCTCGCGATCTCGTCGACGTGAGGAAAAACGAAAGAAGGTGGAAAAAGAAGCTGTCATAAAACAGTGTTCCGCCACTGCAAACATCTATGTAGGTGCAGGGTTGCATTTCCGACGAATTAGTTTGCTATTTAAGATTGCTGGTCAAGTTCGATTGCGTGCGCCACATCACTCCCCCTTCTATGTAATGCGAAAACGTACTCTTCGTCCAGCCCGTGTTCGGTATTCTTTGGGCGCCGTTACCGAAGATGGGGTCACGTTGTCATTGATTATGTGTGCAGCTTTCAACCGATCAATGCTTATATTCACATGTTTTCCTTGAATATCGAGCTTAAAATATTTTTCGTTTCGTTTTATAACCGGAAAGGGGCCTTCATATGGCGGTTGGAGCGGCCGGCGAACGCTGTCTGTTCTTATGAAAACCGCTGGAGTAGTCATCAAATCGGTCTCGATGAATGGGGATGGTCGTGAGTGGTTTGTCGTTTGTGACGGTTTAAGTTTACGCATTTTATTACGAAGATACGTTACAAAATCGTGTTCGGAAACCTCATTGCTTTTCCGAGATATTTGCAAAAACTCACCTGGCAAGCGAAGCGAGCCTCCATAGACCATCTCTGCTGGTGTGGACTTTATATCGTCTTTGTACGCCGTTCGATAACCCAATAATATTAAAGGAATTATGTCGACCCATTTTTCTGTCTGATGCGATTTGATGGCTGCCTTTAGCGTTCTGTGCCAACGCTCTATTATGCCGTTTGCGGCAGGGTGATACGCTGTTGTTCTTAGATGTTGGATCCCCAAAATATTGCTAAGTTCCCGGAACAGCGACGATTCGAACTGACGTCCTTAATCCGTAGAGACTCGAAGAGGAACGCCAAATCTGCTGATCCAATTTGAATAAAACGCGTGTGCTATCGACTCTGCCGTAATATCTTCTACGGGGTATGCCTCTACCCATAGCGTGTAACGATCGATGCACGTAAGGCAATAACGAAAACCTCTATTAGGCGGCAAAGGTCCGATTATATCAATATTGACGTGTTCAAAACGACTATTTGTCAGGGTGTAAGTGGACAATGGCGCTCTGTTGTGGCGATGCACCTTCGCTTTTTGGCATGCCATACACGTTTTGGTCCATTGACGACAGTCTTTTCTGAGGTTAGGCCACGTATACTTTTCAGCGACTAGTTGGATCGTTTTCGCTGCTCCGCAATGGAAAATATTATGCATTGCCATAAAGCCAATTTTACGAAAAGGCTGTGTTAGAAATGGACGTATCTTCTGTACAAACGTCGCAATAAATGTCGGAATTCATACCAGGAACGGAGAAAAGCTTTAAATCCAAGCTTGACGTGTTCTTCGTTAAAAGTTGCTGAAGCTCGTCATCAGTGCGTTGACTTTCTGCTAATTTACTGTAGTCAATAAGATGTTCGACATGTATTGCTTCAACGCGTGATAGGGCATCTGCGACTATGTTGTCTTTCCCCGGTAGATAGCGGACGTCGGTTTTAAATTGGCTCAGAAAATCGAGATACCTTACTTGCCTTGGCGAAGCTTTTTCCAGTTTCTGCTGAAACGCAAACTGAAGAGGCTTGTGGTCCGTAAATAAGCAAAAACTTTGACCTTCAAGCATATGCTGAAAATATTTTACAGCCTTGTACGCACCCAACAATTCCCGGTCGTACGTACTGTAGCGCTGTTGTGTCGATGTGAGACGCTCTGAGTAGAAACCCAGTGGTTGCCAGACGTTTCCGTCTTGCTGTTGCAGAACGGCGCCAAGGGCAGTACTAGAGGCGTCTACTGTAAGTGACAAGGGTGCTCCTGTCTTAGGGAATACCAGCGAGGTTGCCTCAGCAAGTTCTCTTTTGCACTGCTGAAAAGCTTTAACAGTGTCATCGTTCCACTCAATTTTCGTGGCATCGTTCTTTTTGTTGCCTTTAATCAGTCCTGAAAGTACGCCTTGGCTTATCGCTACTTTTGGCAAAAAACGTCGAAAATAGTTGAGCATGCCCATAAAACGCCTCAGATCGCAAACTCGTTTGGGCAACTCAAAATTGTTAATAGCCTTAACCCTATCAGCTGGAGGCTTTACTCCGTCTTTGCTGACTATATAGCCCCAAAACAATACCTCTGGCTTCCCAAAAACGCACTTACTTGGGTTTATAATCACATTATACTCACGCAATCTTTCAAATACGGCGCGAAGGTGTTGTCGATGCTGGTCCTCGTTTTTCGATGCCACTAGAATGTCGTCTAGGTACGACCTAGCGAAATCCAAGTCTCGCAAGGCGTGGTCCATAAACCGTTGAAAGGTTTGACTTGCGTTGCGAAGTCCAAAACACATAAAAACAAATTCAAACATACCAAACGGCGTCGTTATTGCTGTTTTTGGTATGTCAGCCGGCTCTACTGGTAGTTGATGGTATGCGCGAAGCAAGTCTATAGTTGAAAAAACGGTGCAGCCGTGCAAGTTATGTGTGAAATCGTGAAGATGCGGTATCGGGTACCGATCGGGTTCCGTAACGCTGTTCAATCGCCTAAAATCTCCGCACGGCCTCCATTCGCCATTTTTTTTCGCATCATATGTAGCGGGCTTGCCCACGGGCTCCGCGACGGGCGGCAAATACCAGCGTCTAGAAGTGTTTGAATTTCCGCCTTCGCTGCCTTCAGTTTGTCGGGTGCCAAACGCCTGGGCTTAGAAAAAATCGGTGGTCCTTTAGTTATTATGTGATGCGTGACGTCGTGTGTTATATTTTTTGGTGGTACGTTTGTCAGCGCAAGGTCCTTAAACTCTCGCAGTAGGTCCTGAAAAGGCATATCACTGTTGATAACTTTGCGATACGTTCGTTGAGCTATCAACAAGTTTGCGCTGATGCAAGTCGACCAGAAGTTGAAAGTGTGCCAGGAAGTCTGCTCCTACAATGGGCTGCGAAACGTCAGCTACGATAAACTTCCATTGGAATTTTCTTCTCAAACCAAGGTTTAAATACATTATGCGATCTCCGTAAATTTTTATGGTCGTCTTATTGGCAGTATACAGGAATACTTTCGGATTTGGATGTCTGCGCAGTTCCGCTGTTGGAGGTATGACGCTAACCTCTGCCCCCGTGTCTACTAAAAATTGCATCTTGCTATCTCGGTCGACTATCAAAAGACAACGGTTTTTAGAAGAGACCCTGTCACGTACCGCGTTTGTGCCAGGGGTTTTAGTTTAAAGAATGTGAGCAGGGGGATCGGCATTTGGTTGCTTTTTCGCCGAATTTTTTATGGTACCATCAAATGCTGTCGCCTTTGTTGGGTGTACATGAGCGTCCTCGGGAGGCCGACCGACGTGTTTGCCTACCACGCTGTTGAAACTTAGCTTTCAGTTCGGCTACCTCTTTTGTTAGCGCCGCCATCTTCCGAAAAATTTCAGACTGCCCGTCGTCGCTTCGTGCTGCTACCGCGTGTATCTGCGGGCTGTCGCTAACCTCAATAATTTTATCTGCCAACAAAGCAACCTTGTCAAGCGGCTCGTTACTAATAGATATGATGGAGCGCACGTTCTGTGGCAATCTGCTAAGCCAAATCGATCTCAGCATGCTGTCGTTCATTTCAGTACCTGCCAGCAGACGCATTTCACGTAGCAAATGTGACGGCCTCATGTCACCTAGTTCAAGGTCTTGCAACAATTTCTTGATTCGTTTTTGTTCCGAATCCGAAAATTGCTCTAGAATACGCTTTTTTAATGTTTGGTACATATCGCTAGATGGTGGATGTAGTATTAAGTCACTAATTTGCGCGAGTACGCCGCTTTCTATAGCGGCTACCACTGTGTGATATTTCGACTGGTCGCTGCTGATTCCCGCTGCAACAAATTGCGACTCCACCTGCGCCAACCACAATTCGGGTTTCGCATGTCAAAATGGCGGAATTTTCACGGTGACACGTGCTATTTCGTTGCCATTTGTTGCTCCGGGCAATACTGCAGGCAAAAAAGGTATGGCCTGCGTTGTCGTCTGCTCGGGACTCTCCTTTAATTCTCCTTCATCCGGCATGTTGTTCGTCGGGGTCACCAATATATGTGGTCTCGCGCGAAAGCAGAAACAAATTTAATGTGTCACTACTATATTTATTCCTTACAAATAATTTATAATAACGAAATTTTAGTTTTTCGGCTGGCTCGCGATCTCGTCGACGTGAGGAAAAACGAAAGAAGAAGGTGGAAAAAGAAGCTGTCATAAAACAGTGTTCCGCCACTGCAAACATCTATGTAGGTGCAGGGTTGCATTTCCGACGAGTTAGTTTGCTATTTAAGATTGCTGGTCAAGTTCGATTGCGTGCGCCACACCTGAAATTAACGAAATAATTTCCCAACTAGGAAGTAGCCAATTTCTCTCTGTCCTAGATCTGAAAAGCTGCTTCCATCAAATTCCCTTAAAGGAATGTGACATGGAAAAGACGGCTTTTTCAGTTAACAATGGGAAGTATAAGTTTACGAGACTCCCATTCGGCTTGAAAAATGCCCCAGCCATTTTTCAGCGCGCCCATAACGACATACTCAGGGACCACATTGGAAAAATCTGTTATGTCTATATAGACGACATAATTGTGCTTGGTAAGGACGAACGTAGCCATTTAGAGAACTTAGAAACTATCTTCCGAACTCTTGAAAATACTCGAATGAAAGTACAACTGGATAAGTGCGAGTTTTTCAAGGGCGAAGTAGAATTCCTTGGCGTCATAATATCACGCAAGGATATTAAGACAAATCCTGATAAAGTAAAAGCTATCCAAGAAGTCCCCTATCCAAAAACACTGAAAGATCTGAGATCATTTCTTGGATTATCAGGTTATTATAGACGTTTTACCTGTGATTACGCTAAACTAGCAAAACCACTGACTTCCGTGCTTGCTGCCTCAAGCAAAAAGCTAATCCTACCGAATGAAAATGCAAAACAGGCCTTCCATCAAATTAAAAATGCATTAGTATCAGAAGAAGTTATATTCACATACCCCGATTTTAAGAGAGAATTTCACCTAACTACTGATGCATCGAACTATGCTCTAGGTACTGTTTTAGAGCAAGCAGGTAAACCTATTACGTTCATATCAAGATCCTTATCAAAGGCAGAAGAATGTTACGCCGCAAATGAAAAAGAAATGGTGGCGATAATTTGGGCACTAAGCACGTTAAGGAATTATCTCTACGGTTCACCCAAAGTAATAATCTACACCGACCACCAACCCCTTACATTCGCTTTAAGCAATAAAAATCATAACGCAAAAATGAAAAGGTGGAAATGCATTTTGGAAGAGTATAACTACGAGCTCAAGTATAAACCTGGTAAAACTAACGTAGTTGCAGACGCCCTTTCTAGACCCCCAAAAACTGACGTAAACACTCTAACGACAACCGACCATAGTGACGAAAGCTCTGCACATATTCTCATACCTGCTACAGAAGCTCCAATTAACGCCTTTAAGAACCAATTATGTATGCTAATTGGAAATAAAAACAACTACACTTTTGATCTCCCTTTCCCCAGTTATCACAGACATACTATAACTAAAACTGACTACTCCACACAGGACTTAATTGATATTTTTAAACAACGTTTGGATCGAGCTCTTGTTAATGGGCTCTACACAGCAGAAAACATTATGGGTAGAATAAAAGAATTGTATTCATTACATTTCAGAAACATAAAAATCCGCTTTACACAAACCTTATGCGAAGACATCACAAACGAAACCGAGCAAGAAGAAATAATAATAAGAGAACTAAAGAAGACAATAAAACTCAAATTCTTAAAAAATACTATTTTCCTAGCATATACTTTAAAATAGAGAGCAATGTTCAACTTGCCTTCAGCAAAAATACGATAGGCATCCCCCAAAACCAGAAATCCAAGCCACCCCAATTCCACAAAACCCTGGAGAAATCGTTCACATTGACATTTACTCCACAGAGAAAAGGTTTATTCTCACTTCTGTCGACAAATATTCTAAATACACACAAGTCAAAATAATACCATCCAGGGCAGTAGAACACATAAAGGACCCAATACGCGAGCTAATGATTGCTTTTGGAATTCCTAAACTTGTAGTAATCGATAACGAGAAATCACTGAACTCCGCTTCAATTTCGTCGTTATTAAAGGATCAAATGAATATCGAAGTATATGTCACACCCCCTTACGCTAGTACGACAAACGGACAAGTGGAGAGGTTTCACTCCACGCTTTCTGAAATTATGAGATGTTTAAAATCCGACAACAACAGTCTCACTTTTGAAGAGTTACCTTTCAAATCTGTCAAAGAATACAACTCAACAATTCATTCCACCACTAAGAAAAAACCGCTAGAAATATTCTTCGGTACCAGAGTTACCACAGACCCCCAAGAGTCAGAAAGACATAGACAACAAAATGTAGCCTTACTTACAAGGAAGCAAGTAAAGGACCTGGATTATCACAATAAAAACAGACAAAAAACGAAAGATTACTCTGTAGGTGAGGAAATATTCGAATATTGGGCTCTAAGCTATCATCTAGATATAAAAAGGAAATAGTCGCAGAGAATAACAGCACTACAGTCAAAACTCAATCAGGTCGAATCGTTCAGAAAGGTAACATCAGAAGTTAGTCTCAACATTTAAGGCGTACTTTGTTAACCAAGCCTCACAACAAGACAAAAAAATGAAAAAAAACAAATATTTCAATTGAATTTCTTCACACTAATTTAAATTCGAATCCACCGAATTAAACTAATTGCAAGAAATTAAATTGAAGGAAATTATATTAAATTAAATTAATTTGAATAAATTAAAATTAAATCGAATTTTAATATATATAATAAATTAAGTTTAATTTGAATATAATTAGAATAATCTTGACTAAAGCAGACATCGAAAAAATTGCCATAGGCGTTCGATCATTAGAAAATAGGTAAATCGAGTAAATTGCCATAGGCATTAGATAATTAGAAAGTAGGAAAATCGAGTAAAATGCCATAAGCTTTCGATCTTTAGGTAATAAATTAAATCGTTATAAATGCCATGGGCCAACGATATAAATTAAAGTTAGTTAAATAGCTATAGGTCTATAATGATATTTTTTTACAGGCTCTTTGCCTCCACGGCTTATGCAGAAACCCAAATCTTTGACTATACGAATGCACAGCTTACAAACTTAAAATACGGGACAGCAAGAATACAGGAAGGATCATTTAAAATCATTCATATAATAGACAAGCAGACCCGGCGAACTTCGTCCCGCCCAAAATTTTTATATATTTTATTGAATCTTTTTGGTCCAACATTTTCACCAACAATTTACGTTTACGATTTTCATTGGCACATTTGTCTACTAAGATTAAGGTTTGGTGGTCATTTGGCGCTTTAAATACCTAACGAAAGTGTTATATCCGTTCTTGAAATTCTCCAGTTGTGCGGCGTTTCATAGCACGGTTATTCGCAAAGCGATATAAATTTTTTCCTCTTCACTCCCTGGCGGCAACAATGACCCGGTTCTATAGTGAATGTCCTAGAAGCTTTACAGTATAGTAGGTGGCAATTTCAAAATGAGTGCGAATCATTGTTCTACAGAAATGCAATATACATATACTTATTTCAGACGAAATACCTTAAAAGTTTGAACGCATAATAATATTGGAAAATAACATCCATTGGGCCAATTGCAACGCAGGAGCGTTCGATATACTCAATGGTGCAACTGGTCGATTTAATCTGACCTTCACGGCCCCTTTTCTCACTTGGCTATTTTTAGTAATAGCTCGACTTCAGCACCACTTGGCAGCACGTTTTTGCAATAGTATTGCATACATATTTAAAACATTAGCCAAATCGGATCATAAATAAGATTTTTAGTAATAACTCAACTACAGCGCCAACTGTCGGATTAAATTGTGAAACTAAACCGTCCAGAGACCCACTCAAATACACAAAAAGTTTCGTTAAAATCCGTACAACCATTTAGGAAGAGATCACTTACAAACATACCTACAGAAGAACAAAAAAATTCTTTCAAATATGGCTAAAGGTCGGTACGTTTGTAGGCCTCACACCTCTTTTCAAATAGCCCAAATTTTCTCCATGAGTATGGGCTTGATTTCAACTATATACATATCTCCATACGAAGTTCCAGTACTGTACCATGAATACTTTCAGAGATATGCAGTATAAAAATTCGATTTATATGGGAGGTGCCACGCCCCCGTTTCCAAGAGATGCCCTCTTTCTTCATGAGTATGCAATTGATTTGGTATATCCGTACCAAGTTCCATAACTCTACCATGAACACTTCCAAAATAGGCAGTATGAAAAATTCGGTTTGTATGGAAGATGCCACGCCCCCTTTTCCAATAGTTCCAATTTTTCTCCCAGAGTATGCGATTAATTTCCTACATCTCCATACAAAACTCTAGAACTCTACCAAAAAATTTCCAGAGATAAGCAGTATGAAAAATTCGGTTTGTATGGGAGATGTCACACCGCTTTTTACAATAGCTAAAATTTTTCTCCAAGGGTATGCGATTGATTTCGTATATCTCCATACCAATTTCCAAAACTCTACCATGCACACTTTCAGAGATATGTAGCATGAGAAATTCGGTTTGTATGGGAAGTGCCACGCCCCCTTTACATATCGATTTTTTTCAGCCTAAAACCATCCTTGGCACACGTGCGGCAGGTGGCAGTTTCAAAAAAATCGGTTCAGCCGCTCTCGAGCCTTGCGAAAACTAACAAACTGCTTTCTAAATATATATTAGTTGAGATATATTATATATTATAATTATATTTTGACAGTATCCGCTGTTTTTGATGGGCGCAAAAAAATCTTGCCTAGTGACGAATTCGCCCCTTGATATGGTCGTTACTTAAAGCTATTTATATTCGAAATTGCATGAAAATTGGAAAACAGGAATCTATAAGCTTATACAGGCAAAAAGCTACCTACGTACCGAATTTTAAGCAAATCCGACCATAAATACGATTTCTTCGAACAGATCGGTCCCTGGTCCACTTCTCGGACAA